ATTCTCTTCGTCCCCTTCTGGTACACCTATCAAACATAGATTAGGTCTTTTCACATAGTCCCACATTTCTTGGAGACTTTGTTCATTCCTTTTTGCGCTTTTTTCTCTAATCTTGGTTTCTCGTTTTATTTCATTGAGTTGGTCTTCGACTTCAGATATTCTTTCTTCTGCTTGGTCAATTCGGCTATTGAAACTTGTGCATGCTTTGCGAAGTTCTCGTATTGTGTTTTTCAGCTCCTTTAATTCATTCATATTCCTCTCTAAGTTATCCATTCTTGTTATCATTTCCTCATGTCTTTTTTTAAGTTCCTTAGTTTCTTTGCATTGATTTAATACATGTTCTTTTAGCTCACAAAAGTTTCTCATTATCCACCTTCTGAAGTCTAATTCCGTCATTTCGTCACAGTCATTCTCCGTCCAGCTTTGCTCCCTTGCTGGTGAGGAGTTTTGGTCCTTTCTAGGAGGCGAGGTGTTCTGGTTTCGGGTGTTTTCCTCCTTTTTTCGCTGGTTTCTTCCCATCTTTGTGGGTTTATCCGCTTGTCGTCTGCGTAGTTGCTGACTTTTCGATTGGGTCTCTGAGTGGACACCCAGATTGTTGATGATGAAGTATTTCTGTTACTTGGTGTTTCTTCTACCAGCCTAGCCCCTTCGCTGTACAACTGCTGAGGTCCACTCCAGGCCCTGCTTGTCTGGGGTGCACCTCTAGCAGCTGTGGCACAGTGAGGGATGCTACCCGTTTCTTTTTCTGCTATCTTTGTCCCAGGATGATGCCTGCCAAATGTCAGTCTTTTGGATATAGAGGGGTCAGGGAGCTGCTTGAGGAGACAGTCTGTGTACTTTTTTGGAGCTCAATTGCTGAGCTGTGAGCTCTGTTGCTCATTCAGGGCTGTTAGGCTGCTATGTTTGATTCTGCTGCAACAGAGCTCATTAAAAAAAAACCCTTTTTTTCTCAAATGCTCTGTGTTGGGGGGTTCGGGCTTTATTTTTCGATGTCTGATTAGGTGTCCTGCCCAGCTAGAAGGCAGACTAGCCACTGTTTGGCTGCCGAGGCTCCGCCCTGCTGTTGTGTGATTCGCCCTGTTCCTGCAGGCTCTGCTGTGGTCTCCGCCACGCCCTGCGGCGGAGTCTCTTCGTTGTAGCGTGTTGCCTCAGCAATGGCAGGCGGCGTCAGCAGTGGGCGTGTATCTCAGTAGGGACTGGTTGCCTCGGCAACGGCTGGTGCGTCAGCAGTGGGTGTGTATCTCAGTGGGGACGGGTTGCCTCGGCAACGGCTGGCTGCATCAGCAGTGGGCGTGTATCTCAGTTGAGGCGGGTTGCCTCGGTAGTGGTGGACGCCCCTCCCCCACAGAGCGTCTCGGACCATCTGCTCGGGATAGTTTGAAATCACGGTTTTGTTCGTCCCACTGGGTATCCCAAACGATCTGTCCCTGCAATCCCCTGGGCTGACCTACTGTCCAAGTCTCGTTCAGTCTCAAGTCCAGCCCTCTCAAGTCTCAGGTTGCCAGTTCAACAGGGCACCCGGACAAGCGCGCCCTGTGGGGATTGCTGGGTAGGGCCGGCCGCCGCCGCCCCGGCTTCCGGCTTCGCCAGGCAGACCTACTGCCTGGCGTCCCGTGTCTTTTTTATACTTGGGAGTTTCCCCGTTCTGTGGGCAACAAAGATCAGTCTGGAAATGCAGCTCAGACTCACCGTTTGCAGATTCAACGAGAGCTCCAGTCCTGGGTTGTTCTCACAGTGCCATCTTGAGTCCTCCCGATCTTAGTTATTTTTTGTCTTCTGCTAGCTTTTGAGTTTTTTTGATCTTGCTCCTCCAGCTCTTTCAATTTTGATGATAGGGTGTCAATTTGAGATCTTTCCTCATTTCTCATGTGGGTCTTTATTGCTGTAAGTTTCCCTCTAGACACTGCTTTAAATGTGTCCCAGAGATTCTGAGTATGTCTGTCCTTGTTCTCGTGGTTTAGAAGAACATCTTTATTTCTGCCTTCATTTCATTGTTTATCCAGTCAATCTGCTGGAACCTCTTGTTCAGTTTCCATGAAGTTGTGCAGTTTTGAGTTAGTTTCTTAATCCTGAGATCTAATTCAGTTGCACTGTGGTCTGAGAGACTGTTATGATTTCGGTTTTTTTTTTTTTTTTTGCATTTGCTGAGGAGTGATTTACTTCCAATTATGTGGTCAATTTTAGAGTAAGTGCAATGTGGTGCTGAGAAGAATGTATATTCTGTGGCAGTGGGTGGAGAGTTCTGTAGATGTCTATTAGGTCAGCTCATTCCAGTTTTTTATTCAAGTCCTGTATATCCTTTTTGATTTTCTGTTTTGTTTATCTGTCTAATGTTGACAGTAGAGTGTTAAAGTCTCCACTATTATTGTGTGGGAGTCTAAGTCTCTTTGTAGGTCATTTAGAACTTGCTTTATGTATCTGGGCACTCCTGTATTGGGTACATATGTATTTAGGATAGTTAGCTCTTTATGTTGTATTGATCCTTTCACTATTATGTAGTGTCATTTGTCTCTTCTGATCTTTGTTGGTTTAAAGTTGATTTTAATCCAACACTAAAATGGCAACCCCTGCTTTTTTTTTTTTCTCTCCATTTGCTTGGTAAATCTTCTTCCATCTCTTTATTTTGAGCCTATGTGTGTCTTTGCATGTGAGATGGGTCTTCCGAATACAGAACACTGATGGGTTTTGACTTTTTACCCAGTTTACCAGTCTGTGTCTTTTGATTGTGGTATTTAGGCCATTTACATTTAAAGTTAATATTGTTATGTGTGAATTTGATCCTGCCAGTTTGTTGCTGGTTGTTCGTTTTGCCAGTTGGTTGACACAGTTTTCTCATTGCATCATTGGCCTTAACCATTAGGTTAATTTTTGCAGTGGGTGGTATTGGATATTTTTTTCTGTGTTTAGTGCTTCCTTCAGGAGCTCTTGTAGGGCAGGCCTGGTGGCGATGAAATCTCTCAGTAATTGCTTGTCCATAAAGGATTTTATTTCTCCTTCACTTATGAAGCTTAGTTTGGCTGGATATGAGATTCTGGGTTGAATGTTCTTTTCTTTAAGGATGTTGAATATTGATCCCCACTCTACACTGGCTCATAATGGTTCTGCTGAGAGATCTGCTGTGAGTCTGATGGGCTTTCTTTTGTGGGTGACCTGAACTTTCTCTCTGGCTGCCCTTAGCATTTTTTCCTCCATTTCAACCCTGGTAAATCTGACAATTACGTGCACTGTGGTTGCTTTTTTTGAGAAGTATCTCTGTGGTGTTCTTTGTATTTCCAGTATTTGAAAGTTGGCCTGCTTTATTAAAAGTTGGGGAAGTTATCCTGGATAATATTTTGAAGAGTGTTTTCCAGCTTGGATTCATTTTCCCTGTCTTCTTCAGGTCCACCAATCAAGCATAGATTGGGTCTTTCCACAGTCAGATATTTCTTGGAGGCTTCGTTCGTTTCTTTTCACTCTTTTTTCTCTTTTCTTGCCTTCTCTTTTTATTTCATTGAGTTGATCTTTGATCTCTGATATCCTCTCTTCTGATTGATCAATTTGGCTATTGAAACTTGTGTATGATTCACGAAGTTCTTGTGCTGTTTTTCAGCTCCATCAAGTCATTTATGTTCTTCTCTAGGCTGGTTATTCTAGTTAGCATTTCATCTAATCTTTTTTCAATGTTCTTAGTTTCTTTGCATTGGGTTAAAATATGTTCTTTTAGTTCAGAGAAGTTTGTTATTATCCATCTTCTGAAGCCTGCTTCTGTCAGCTCATCAAAATTGTTTTCTGGCCTGCTTTGTTGCCATGCTGGTGAGTCATTGTGATCTCTCTGAGGAGGAGAGGTGTTCTGGACTTGGATGTTTTCATCCTTTTTGTGCTGGTTTCTTCCCATCTTCTCTGAGTGGATGTCCTTTCTGTTAAAGTTGGGGTTATTTCTCCTGTATGTGGCTTTTTCTTTTTCTAATGCCAGTGTCAGTGTGCCACTTGAGACAGTCTGTCCATTGTCAGCCTGTGGAGGCACTGCTGGGCTGCCTTGGTCTCAGCCCAGGCTGCTGTTTATTCTTTGCCTGGCTACCATACTGCTGGGGTTAGCCCTGCCTTCCCACTGGAAAGCTCTTTTGCTCTGCTGAGCCGGCTGTTCCTGGGTGGAGGATGTGTTAACTATGAAACTCCCGGAAGAGGGACTCCAGTGGCTGAATCTTGTCGGAGAGGGGCTGTTTGGTGGTATCTCCCTCCCCACTTTCAACTCTCTCTTCTGTGGGACAGGCAGTTTCTTTTTGAGAGCTTTCTCAGTATTAGTCCAAATCTTCACCCTGGTCTGTAGTAACAAGGCACCAGTCTGGCCAGGGCTGCCAGCCTGGGCTGGCACCTGGGTCTGTGACTTCGGGTGGTTCTCAGCAAGGCAGTGTTTTCCTGGTCTGTGTGCTGCCTAAGTCTTGGAGTGAATGGCTGTATCTGATTCAGAGAACTGAGGAGGTGATGCCCCCCCGTCCTCCGTGTCTGATACACTTTCCAGGTGTAGCAGTGCCCTGCCTTGCCTCGGCTGGATGCCTTTGGGCTGCCTTCACTGCCTTTTTTGGGTGTTAATCCCACTGTTCAACCAGTTCCTCTAAAATAAAACTGGTGTCTCGCTTGGCGACGTGGATATTGCTCTGCTTCTGTTTCACTCAGTGATAGCTACACTCTGGAGAAGCTTCCTTTCTGTTATCTTCCCTTGAATCTACTCTTGAATTATTCTTAAGTTATGTTGTTCAGTTTTTCAGAATTTAAATTCATTTTATTATTCCTTGGAGCGTTACATTTCATGAGTGCTACTGTATGCATGTCATTTTATTACAATTCAGATTAAATTATTAATTTAGCTGATACTGATAATAAATATATTAACCTTCAATTTTTTTTCACATAGTTAAAAATGCTCTCTAGATCACTGACCCAAAACAAACAAACAAACAATACACAATAATTGTTCAGTTTATAATTATTTTTTAAATTTATCCCCTTTCAATTTGTTTTAGATACAGAAAATATTGCAAGAAAAGTTACAGAGGTTAACAGAGGAAAGCAATGCTTCCATGAAAAGTCAGATGGGACTTAGAATTAAAGATCTGAAATTTGAAGTCTACAAGGCCAAAACTTCACAAGCAGACTACAATACAACAGAATTGGAAACATATGAGAAACTGTATCTAGAACAATTAAAACTGAGAGAATCTACATTAGATGAACTAAGCAAGTAAGTCAAAACACAGAATCATTGAAAATAAATGAAGCTCTTTACTTTGCCTCAAAAGCATAATTTTTAGTGAGACAGATTCATGAGATTAGGTGGAAGTAAAAGCTAACTAGATAAGACAATTTTGAAAAATGATGTTAGTAAATGAACTTACCTTTGAAATGTTAATCCACAGGTGGATCACGTGAGGTCAGGAGTTTAAGATCAGCCTCACTAACATGGTGAAACCCCATCTTTACTAAAAATACAAAAACCAGCCAGGCATGGTGGTGTGCTCCTGAATCCCAACTACTCAGGAGATTGAGGCAGGCGAATCACTCGAACCTGGGAAGTGAACATTGCAGTGAGCAGAGTACCACTGCACTCCAGCCTGGGCAACAGAGTGAGACTCTATCTCAAAAAAAAAAGTTAATCCAGGACAATTCATCTTACTCTCCTGTTTGCGTGTGTGTGTGTGTGTGTGTGTGTGCGTGTGTCTTGTCTTGTTTTTTGTGTTTCTTTTTTTTTTTTTTTTGAGATGGACCAAAAGGGAAAGCCCTGCTTCTGAGGCTTTGGTCACAATTTTAGGAGTAAATTGCCTTTAGAGGTGATTGAGTTCTCTTTGATCTTGGCTGTCTCCTCCCCAGAGAGTTGTTGCTCTGAATGATTCCTCAGTGCCAAATGCTTAATTTTTCTCAGATAATGGGTGAAATGTACACGGGTGGTGAAAAGAAATGCTTAAAAATGTCTTTCAGAGATCTTTTTTTTCTGTAACTGGCTTACTAAATACAAGTATTTCTAGCTTTATTTTACTGGAGTAAAATGTTTTTGGATTTATATTTTTGGGTATATTTTGGTACTCCTATATATTTAAGGAGTACCACATGATGTTTTAGTATATATACGTAGTCGAATGGTTATTCTAGTAAAGCAAATTAATGTTTATCTTTTCATATAGTTACCCTTGAAACACAAGTGTTTATTTACTTAAAAATTTTTTTTGAGACAGTTTCACTCTTGTCACTCAGGCTAGAATGCAGTGGTACAATCTTGGCTCATTGCAACCTCTGCCTTCCAGGTTCAAGTGATTCTCCTGCCTCACCCTCCTCAGTAGCTGGGATTACAGGCATCTGCCACCATGCCTGGCTGATTTTTTTGGTTTTTTTTTTTTGCGTTTTTAGTAGAGACAGGGTTTTATTATGTTGGCCAGGCTGGAATTGAACTCCTGACCTCAAGTGATTCTCCCTTCTCAGCTTTCCAAAGTTCTGGGATTACAGGTGTGAGCCACTGTGCCAGGCCTAAACACAAGTATTTCTAATGGCATTCTTAAGAATCTTCTAAGTAGAGCCATTTCAGAAGGCAACAAACATGACCTGTTAATTCATACATCATTAATAGCTTTTGCTCTTCCCTCCCTATTTTGTTTGAATTACTTGTTTGTTAGAAATCCTCTAGAAATACATGTACTTCTTTAGAACAATTTTAAAATTATTCCTGGGACATGACCCTTTCAATGTTTCAAGGCTCAATTAAACAAGAGCCTTTCAATCCAAACCTTTCAGTCAGATATGAGCAGGCAGGAGGAAAGGTAGCTATGTGGAAGAAATGCCGCATTATTACCCTGAAGATGCTCAGAAATCACTCATTCTATGGTTGAACTGTCAGAATGTGAATGGTACACATGCCCTCATACATTTTCAGAGTTAAAACATGGTTTGTGGTATCTTTTATTGACTCATGGTTACTTTTTAAACAATGCAAGTCATTTAGACATAATTTTTTAAAAAACAAAATACTCAGTATCTGTCTTTTGCAATCTTCACAGACACAAAAAAATTCTAGCAAGTGTCGGTACCAGACTTCTTCAAGAAAAAAGAGCAGAGCAAATCTTTATTTACTTCTCATACTGCAAGGCCAGCCTTGGAGTCATCATGCAATGAAAATCTTAATGAAAATTTAGGTCTCAACAGAATTCATGTTCCAAGAGAAACCTTAGGGATTTCTACTTCAAGCTTAGATAACAGAATGGAGAACGACTTGTCAAAGTTTAGCTGTAGCAGTGTTTTTTTTTCTTTTCAGACTTCTGATATATAATTCTTGTATTTTTTGGCAAAAAATTGAGTTGTCTAATTGACTTATGCATTTTAAATAAAGATTATAATTACCTGTGTTTTTCAGGAGAGGAAACAAACTTAACAGCTTTTTTTTTTAAGTCCTTGGGGCTCTCATTGTCAAGAGATATTCATTTGTTAACTTTATTCACAAAAAGTAACTAAAGCAGCACATTTGACCTTTCTGTCAAAATTGCATTTAAGTTGGATTTTGGAAATGGAATGGTATTGCCTAACAACTGAATATATGCTTTGAGATGATTTGGCTTGCTTTGTAACTGATTTTAGTTTGGTTTAGTTCATAATGTTTTTTTTTAAATTATTTTTTTAGATGTGTGAAGAAATTCTGAGCCTAACGTGCTTTTATTTATGCAGGTATGGCTCTCTGAGAGACAAGGATGAAGCATGATGTCTAAGACATGCCAGACTTCAAAAATACCAGCCAATTTTAGTAAGTATGAAGTAGACTATGATAGTGTCATGATTTTTGCTACTTATTAAGCAAATATGTTTCTAGGAAGGGTGAACATCTGGATCTCTGATTGCATATCCACAGCCATGAGAGAAAGGAAGTGCTGTCTGTGGAGGAGCAGCTGGGTTTCCAGGGAGGAGATGGAATGAGCCATAGCTATTTCTGGGTGCATGATCTTAAGGGTCCTGGACCTGTGATAAGCCTTCAAGCCTGCTTTCACTCCCACCCTTGTCCCAACCTGCAGTGTGGTAGACAGCATTTCTTTTCTATTGGTCCAGGCATAGAGCAGGAACCGATGACTCACAGAATATTATGTAGCCATAAACAAGAAAAACATCAGATCTTTTGCAGGAACATGGTTGGAGCTGGAGGCTGTTATACTTAGCAAGCTAATGCAGGAACAGAAAGCCAGATACCATATGTTCTCACTTATAGGTGATAAGAACTATGAACATAAAGAAGGAAACAACAGATTCTGGGGTCTTCTTGAGGCAGTAGGGTGGTAGGAGGGAGAGGAACAGGAAAGACAATCCCCATGACACATGTTTACTTATGTAACAAATTTTCACCTGTACCCCCAAACCTAAAATAAGAGTCTTTTTTTTTTTTTTTTTTTGAGACGGAGTGTCACTCTTGTGACCCAGGTTGGAGTGCAATGGCGCGATCTCAGCTCACCGCAACCTCCGCCTCCTGGGTTCAGGCAATTCTCCTGCCTCAGCCTCCTGAGTAGCTAGGATTACAGGCACGTGCCACCATGCCCAGCTAATTTTTTGTATTTTTAGTAGAGATGGGGTCTCATCATGTTGACCAAGATGGTCTCGAGCTCTTGACCTCGTGATCCACCCGCCTCGGCCTCCCAAAGTGCTGGGATTACAGGCTTGAGCCACCGCGCCCGGCCAAGAGTCTTTTTTAAATAAAGGAGTTGGTAGCTCATGCAGAAAGAAGCAGGAGTGGAAGCTGGCATTGGATCTATCTTACTACTGGCCAGAGATGCCCACAGAGCAGCAGTGATGGGTGCAGCTGAAAAATGGAGCCTAGGATTTGTCTGTAAACCTCCCTAACTAGATGTTTTGGGAAGGGATAAAAGAACTGGAAGACAAGACAGGTTTGCGGTGCACCTACGACATTTCCTACAAAAAAAATTAACAAGATGCAACCCTCACCTCTCAGTGGATTGTCTTCCTCCTTCTCCCCTGGGATAAAAAGATGCTTTCAGTATCACCGAATCGAAAAAACCATAAGAATATACTGAGGTTATCTTTCTTTTCTCTGTAGCTACCATGCACTCTCCTCCTCTCCGCTCCTCTCCTGTCATCTCCTCCCCTCTCCCCCTCTCCCCTCCTCTCCCCTCCCCTCTTTCCTCCTTTCTCCCCCCTCCCTTCTCTCCTCTGCCCTCTCCCCCTTCCCTCTCCCTTCTCCTCTCCTCCTTTCTCCCATTTCCTATCCTCTCTGCTCTCCCTCTCCGCTCCCCTTCTCCCCTTTCCCCTCCCCCTCTCCCTTTTTATATACTCCAAACCCATATCTCATTTCTGAGAGAATAGAATGATTTATTTTCCTGCCAAAACAAAGCTCTGTGTAATTTAATCCATGTTCTGTTTGTTTCTTTCAGAATATATATGATTTTCACCCCTGGACCTCCCTGCACGCCAAAACACAAGAAGTCTCAGAAATGGTCAGCATTCACCTTCCCATCCCAGCAATCTCCCAGGTGGGGCCAGTGGACATAGATTGATGAGCCAGGGGTGCAAAATTTGTAAAGCATCCCCCCTGCCAAACCTCAACGGGGGTCCCTTATGTAGGTGAAGTTGTTACTCTCCTAAGTAAAATGAAGAAAGAGTTTGAAGCTTGTTTCAGTTGGTGGCCATTTAAAATGTTTCTGTATACAAAAATCTTCTCACTCCTTTTCCCAGACAATGTGGGTGATAATTCTTTCTATGATTTTTTTTAATAATACTGAATCTTATAATTCATAGACTCCTCACTGGGGTGCTTTTATGACACCCCATAGTGAAATTTGACCTAGTCAAATCAAGTATGAAGCAAGTGTCTTCTGTTTGTTTTTTTTTTTTTTTTTTTTTTTTTTTGGAAAAAAAAGAAAAGAGAATGAAGGACAGGAAGAAAGAGGATGAAGAAAAAGGAGAGAGAACGGGAGTGTTGCTTTATTGCCCAGGCTAGAATACAGTCTAAAAATGGGTATTGAAAACCTCTTTTATGCCAATAATTGTGCTTAATAATGGAGACAGGAAAAAATGAGGGAAGAAAATAACAAACAAGTAGCCAACCAATATTTCATTTAAACCTGTGAGTAGGTGTGATGAGTAGGTACTGATAAGAGTGTATAGTTTGTGTATTTAAAGTGGAGAGTTCTATAAATGTTTATTAAGTTTACTTGTTCCAGATCTGAGTTAAAGTCCTGGATATCCGTGTTTATTTTCTGTCTCATTGATCTATCTAATATTGATGTTGAAGTTTTCCACTATTATTGTGTGGGAATCTAAGTCTCTTCTCAATAAGTCTTATGCATCTGGGTGTTCCTGTATTGGGTGCATATTTATTTAGGATCGTTAGCTCTTCTTGTTGCATTGATCCTTTTACCATTATGTAATGACCTTCTTTGCCTCTTTTGATCTTTGTTGCTTTAAAATCTATTTTATTAGAGGTGAGAATTGCAACTCCTGCTTTTCATTTATTTATTTATTTATTTATTTTTGCTCTCCATTTGGTCGGTAAATCTTTCTCCATCCCTTTGTTTCGAGTCTTTATGTATCCTTGCCTGTTAGATGGGTCTGGATGCAGCATACCGATGGGTTTTGGCTGTGTCTTTTGATTGTGGGATTTAGTCAATTTAAATTTAGGATTAATAATAATATTTGTGAGTTTATTACTGCCATTTGATGTTAGCTGACTGTTTTGCCCATTAGTTGATGTAAATTCGTCATTATGTTGATGCTTTTTACTTTTTGGTATATTTTTGGAAAGGCTAATACTGATTGTTCCTTTTTATGTGTAATGCTTCTTTCAGAAGCTCTTGTAAAGCAGGCCTGGTGGTGATGAAATCTCTGAGTACTTGCTTATTCACAAAAGATTTTATTTTTCCTTTACTTGTAAAGCTTAGTTTGGCTGGATATGAAATTTTGGGTTGAAAGTTCTTTTCTTCAAGGATGTTGAATGTTGGCCTCCACTCTCTTCTGGCTTGTAGGGTTCCTGCTGAGAGATCTGCTGTGAGTCTGATAGGCTTCCCTTTATGGGTAACCTGACTTTTCTCTCTGGCTGCCCTTAGTATTTTCTCCTTCATTTCAACCCTGGTGAATCTAATGATTATGTGCCTTGGGGTTGCTCTTCTTGAGGAATATCTTTGTGGTGTTCTCTGTATTATCTGGAGTTGAATATTGTTCTGCCTTGCTAGGTTGGGAAAGTTTTTCTGAGTAATAACCTGAAGAGTATTTTCCAGCTTGGATTCATTCTCTTTGTCACAGTCAGGTACACCTATGAAACGTAGATTAGGGCTTTTCACATAGTCCCATATTTCTTGGAGACTTTGCTCATTCCTTTTTATCCTTTTTTCTCTAAACTTGTCTTCTCGTTTTATTTCATTAAGTTGGTCTTCAACCTCTGATATCCTTTCTTCTGCTTGATTAATTTGGCTGTTAAAACTTGTGCATACTTCATAAAGTTCTCGTGTTGTGTTTTTCAACTCCGTTAAATCACTTATATTTCTCTCTGTATTGTCCATTCTCGTTAGCATTTCGTCAAACCTTTTTTTCAAAGTTCTTAGTTTCTTTGCATTGGGTTAGAACAAGTTCTTTTAATTCCCAGAAGTTTCTTATCATCCACCTTCTGAAGCCTACTTCTGTTAATGGAACACACTAGTTTTCCATCAGGCCTTGTTCCGTTGCTGATAAGGAACTGTGATCCCCTGTAGAGGGAGAGACGTTCTGATTTTGGGTATTCTTAGCCTTTTTAGGCTGGTTTCTTCCTTTCATTATAAATCTATCCATCTGTCCTCTTTGTAATTATGGACTTTCTAATTAGATTTCTGAGTGGATGTCCAATTTGATGATTCCCAGTGCTGGAATCTGAGCAACGCACTGCGTCGGCTAAAACAGTGGCATTAAGATTGATGGTGCTTTTCTGCCGGGGAATCTCCGGTCTGGCTTCCTTCTTCAGTCCATCCTTCAATCAGCTGAATAGGCGGCTCTGCTTTCCCAGAGCTCCAAACGTCAGCCAAAAGGGGACCCAGTCCCGTTTACTCTGCACCAAGAGCAGCCACACCAAGGTGCTGGCAAAACCACCGTGCTGTCCACAAGAGTCACACTGGTGACCCGTGGGGCTCCTCCATTGGGAATCTCCTGGTCTGTGAGCAACAGAAATTCGTCTGAAAGTGTGGCATCCTCTCGTTCTCTGCATTTTCATTGGGAGCTACAATCCTGAGCTGCTAGTGATCAGCCATCTTGGATCTCTCTCCAGGTTCATAATGTTTTTAAAGATTTTTCTGTAGCATCTCAAGTTTCCCACTTCTAATAATATGTAAACAATTGGTATTCAAACACTTAACCACATGTGGATGATTATTATGTAAAGGAATCCAAGATAAATACTTTTGATGAATTACATGAACCTAACACTAAAAAATATTTTTTCTGTTTTTAAGTTTAAAGTTTTTTTACTTTCTTACATGAGTATATCCTTTTATAACATTTTAATATCAGTTGTTGTAAAATGTGTCCATTGCTGTACAATTATACAGCAGTGTTTATATACTTAAAGCAATATTTGAATTTATAAAGTGAAGTTCACTTATGTCTATCTTACCATGACTTGAATGATTTATGTCTAAAATGGCAATGATATAGAGAATAGTTAGATAGCAAATGTGAGCAGACAGAATCCAGTCTGTTCTTCCTACCCAGAATTCCATGTAAAACTGCACAGGTTTCCCATCTCCCTGGGACATGACCCTTTCAGTGTTTCAAGTTTTGATTGAACAAGAGCCTTTCAATTCAACTGTTAGGATAGGCAGTTATGAGCAGGCAGGAGGAACTGTTAGGGTAGTCAGATATGAGCGGGCAGGAGGAAAGGTAGCTATGTGGGAAGAAACGCCCCAGAACGGCTCTTAAGATGATCAGTAATCACTCATTCCATGGTTGAACTGTCAGAATGTGTTAACTACATTCTGATAAAGAAGGGGAAAGGCAAAAGGGGAATTCTTAAGAGCTGCATGGACACAATGAATACAAATGTGATGGCTGTACCATCTTCCTGAGTGGCAGTAATGAGCAATGCCACCATTGGGTAGAATTTGTTGTGATCACTGGGTTCTGCACATGTGCATTAACCAAAACTAAGGGAGGGTTTCCCAAGTCTGGGTGCAAACTGGGCAAGAACAAAGGCAGGAACCTAAAGAAAGTGAGAGAAAAGATCAAATGCAGAAGGTATTGGGGCTGCTTCCAGCCAAGTCAGCCCACTCTTGTCTTAAAGCATGCTGTCACTTCTGCAATAAATGTGTTTTTTTGCTGGATTTACTAATTGGTCTTTTGACTGAATTCTTTCTTGCAAGAAGGCAAGAACTGAGGACACTTTCTGGAACTCCAGTCTTGGCAACGTCTCTTGGTGCTGTGACTCGCATCCTGTCATGAGGTAAGGGCTGTGCTCCCTGCTGTCTCCTCTCACATATGTGCTCCTATCCAGCATAGTCTATGAGAATGCTGAGCATGCCGATTAAGCTCCTTGGCATCTCTGCTTTGTGTGCTCAGCTAGCACTTCCACCCAACGCCCAAGAGAGCTCCTCCAGGCACAGAATGCTTTCTTCTTGTCAGAGACCCTAAGGCTTCTGATTACTTCCACATTCACACAACTGACTTTTGGGGACTCCCACCTGTCTTTCTTCACAGTTGGCCCTGCTGCCCATGCCATCATGGCATCTCTCTCTTGCTAGCCAATGCCACCTCCTTTGTCCTCTCTCTTCCCAGGTAGGCCCCAATACAGTGGCTTTTAGAATGCTCTGTCACCATCTCCTCTGCACTAATTCCACCTCCAGATGAAATTTAGGTAAATTTCAGGTGCTATGGTCTTGGTCTAGGGGTCATCTGGATGTAGCTAATTACCCAATCTTCTCTCCATGTTCTTATCACTGAATTCTTAGGGATTTACCAGTCGACTTCCCACTTGTCTGTGGCCTTCCCCACTGTCCTTGACATGCTTTTACTGTATGCAGAGGATTATTACAGAAGGCTACAAAATTATAATTGGGCACAGTCATCTATAATTAGATGTGAGACCTATAGACCGGGGGCGGGAGGTCAACAGACCAAATGAGGGAAAGAGGTCAAGGCTTGGGTGGGAGCATGCAGTAAGGGTGCATGAAGTCTGAAGCTCCTCACAGGCCAGAGATGCCTGGCCTACTGTGGGAAAGGGATGGAGAGGATGCTCTCCCCCTTTCCCAATGGATGAGAATGGACAGAGAGTTAGGATGTTCACTCTCCCCTGGCCTTTACTTCTCTCTGTTTTTCAGATGGACATTCAACAGTCCGCACTGTAGGACTCTCCCCTTCAATGCATTCTCAAAAGTTAGGACAAGTTTGATCCCCAGACATTAAAGAAAAAGATATTAGCTTTCTTTTGTAACTGCACATGGCCTCAATACAAACCTCTACGACTGTAGGAAGGCTGGCCAGAAAATGGTAGCCCTAATTTTCATACCCGCTTGCAGTTGGACCTGCTTTGCTGGTGACAGGGTAAATGGTCAGATGTGCCCTGTGTCCAGGCCTTTATGGCTCTAAAATAGGACCAGAATCTCTGCCAAAAATACAAACTGGACCCTGCCACTTTGGATCTTGTGAGCCCCTCAGTGGATAATTCTCCTATAAATGGCATAGGAAATTTCCCAGAAGAGCATCCTCAGCCTTCTTTTATTTATCCTCCCACTGAGGTTCCAAAGCCATTAGCCCCTGTACTCACCAGAGGAATAGGAGTGGGCACAGGAACACGAGGCTCCAGAGGCTGGTTTCAATTGGGAAAGGTCCTACATCTGCCTTAAAATGTTCAGTGGGAAGTTAGCTATGCTTTGTGTGACTCCTGCCACTTTGGCAAGAAAAAGCTTTCAATACTGTGCAAATGGCTCTTTTGGAGAAAAAAATCTTTTGAGGGTTGAACAAGCTTTCCAGGGCTTGTGCCCTTTGCACATTAAACATCGCATGAGGAGCCAAACTTCCTTTTCTTTTCCAGACAGTCCAATGGAGGGGCACTCATGCTAGGGAGAATTGGCAGTTTGACTTCACCTCACTTTGTGCCTGTCAAGGTATTAAATATCTTCTGGTCTTTTAGACACCTTCCCAGGTTGGATAGATGCTTACTCCATGTGAATGGAAAAAGCAGTGGGGATAGTAAAGGTCCTCCTCAAGGAGGTTCTACCCCGGTTTGGCATCCCAGGTCATTGCAAAGTGGTTAATAGTACATCCTTCACCTCACTGGTTACTCAACTTGTTTCTCAGACCTTGGGGATCAGTTACTTTCTACATTCCTCCAGGCATCCACAACCCTCTGGAATGGTTGATAGATATTAACCAAACTCTCAAGTAAACCTTGGAAAAATTATGCAAGGAAACCTCAAAGCCTTGACCAGAGCTACTACATATTGCTCTACTGAGGCTGAGGAACATACCCATCTCTAGCTTACAACTCAGTTCTTTCAAGTTATGATGTGGAAAACCCTTTGTTTGCTTTCCTATTGGATACTGAAACTTGCCAACTTACTAATTATGTTACTTCCCTATCCCAGTTTCAGCTGGGGGCTCAAAAACTAGGCCAAAAGACATTTTCACACCCTGAAAACTCTGACTAAATTTTATACCCACCAAGTAAGTACTCAAGTTATCATCAAGACTGGGAAGGATGGCACTTCAAACTGTCTACTGAGTCTTATTTGGAGAGGATCTTACAATGTTTTGCTCTTCCTACAGCAGTTATGATGCTGGGGATCACCATGTGGCTTCAATACTCCATGATAAAGCTGTATTACTCATCTCTGGCAGAGGAAGTTGTAAAGGTCCCATCAGACACCTGCACCCTTGAGCCCCTCCAGGGTCTCAGACTCCTCTCAAGCAAAGCCAAAAGAATAAAGATAAGTAAATTAGTAATGCTTTGGCCTGTTACACCATGAGTCATAATACTCCTTGCAAGTTTACTACTCTGAACAAACACCCCCTCCAGGAAAAGGAGGGGCTTGGCATCACCACAGGTGCCACGATGGGAATAGCTGACATTGGCACTTACTGCTGAACCTACCAAAGCCTGTCTCTGGAATTGGCTCAAGGGATAGAAACCACTGCTTGAGCTATAACAGAGTTACAGTGGCAAGTCAGTTATCTCACAGCTATAGTTCTCAAACATGGTAAAGGTCTTGACATGCTAGCTGCCGATCAGGGAGGAACTTGTCTATGCTTAGAGAAGAGTGCTGATCTGGATTAAGACATCAGGATAGGCTCAGGAGCACATTAGAGATCTCATAAACCAGGCTTCTCACCTTTGTGAAAGGACTACTGAGGGTTGGCTCTCCTGGGGTGTCATCTGGTTCTGATTCTTATGGCTCCTCCCCTTCCTGGGACCCCAGACCTCTATCTTCCTTCTTCTCCTTTCTGGGCCTCGCTTCTTGAATCTACTAAGTTTATTTCATCCCATCTAGAAGCTGTCAGACTTCAGATGGTCTTGTGACAAGGATTTCAACCTCTTTCCTACCCTTGAGGACAACCACATTTCTGCATGTCTCCTCTGGACACTGTGTGTGAAATGTTTTGAGAGACAACAACCACGTCTGAAACCTTCTCACCATGACAGCAAGCAAGGGGAGGGACCTAGAAGACACTTGACACCCCTTTTCAGCAGGAAATAGTTACAGAAGAATGACCTCCACCCCATTTCCCAAAAGATTTCTGAGTCCCAACTCCTTAAGGTAAATGTAAGAGTAGGCAGTTTGTCAGACATTAGCAGGCAGGAGGGGAGGTGCCCATGTTGGAAGGAACAGCCCAGAACACCTCTTAAGATGCCCAGTACTCACTCTATGATCAAACTATCAAAATGTGGTTAACTAGATCCTGATAAGGGAGAAAAAAAGGCAAAAGCAGAATTCTTGAGAGCCACGCAGGTGCAATGAATAAAATTTAATGACTGTTTGACCTTCCTGGGTGGCAGTAATGAGCAATGTCCCTATTGGGTGGGTTTGTATTGATCACTGTGTTCAGTGCATGTGCATTAACCACAATAAGGGAGGATCCCACAAGCCTTGGTGAGAACTGGGCAAGGAAGGAAGCCAGACCATGGAAGATCAAATGCAGAATGTCCCAGGAATGTTTACAGCAGGATCAACCCACTCCTGTCTTGAAGTGTACTTTTACTTCCCCAGTAAAACTTTTACCTGCTTTACTAATTGGTCTTTTGGGCAAATTCTTCCAAGAAGACAAGAACACTCTGGGTAACCCAGATAGGTAACATCAACATGAGACTTCACTCATAGTAGGAGTTTGGGGATCTCAAGGTGAATCTAATAATGACAAGGTGTGTCAATGATAGAATTGGTAAGGAAAAAATAGTTCAACTATGTTTAATTTATTTCAAGAAATTTATCTAAGGTTTGACCAGTTTTCAACTATGGGAAAATTACAAAAACTGGGTGCAGTGGCACACACTATAGTCCCAGCTACTCTAGATGCTGAGGCAGGAAGATCACTTGAGCCCAGGAGTTCTAGGTTGTAGTGTGAGACGATGGTGCCTCTGAATAGCCATTGCACTCTAGCACTGCAGCCTGGGCAACATAGAATGACAAAATACAAAAATTTTAAATAATTTGTTTTAACAAAAATAAATTGTAACTAGTTTTTTGTGTCTCATTGTTATTGAAAAATTCAGTCAGTGCATTTTGGCTTATGGTTTTGATGGTATTTTTATGAATTCCTTAATGCACAGAAAAGTAATAATAGACCCATGTGAAATGAGGCCTTAACCTTCTTTCTTTACCTGGGTTCATGTCCTAACACATCATTGAAGAGCAAATCTAAAGTTTTTAAGAAATCATTTCAGCCAAATAGCTTAAAAGAGAACAAATTAAATGCTTGTATTAATACAAACATTACAAAAATCCTAGGTAGCTGATCTTAAAAATAATATATTTAGTTTTGTTTTAGTTCTCCGCAAAAAAAGATGATGAGAGTCTAAGTGCTTCAGAATCGTAAAATTCTGCCACTGTGTACAAAAAGAAAATGAAAAGTACTTCTGTAAATTGTTAAACATGATTAAAATATATGTGCTTAATTTTTTACCAGCAAAATCAGGTAATATATCATTTTGCAAGATGGCAATGAAAGATGGTACAAATGCAGATGTGGTGCCAGGGAAGATTTTTGAGGCAAAAGGTGTTTATTTTTAGTATTTCTAGATAACTTGAGAAATGGTTTATTTTAAACTTAATGTAATAGGTCCAAGTAGACTTGGTTCCCTTGTGAGCCATTGCTTTGCAAAATCGTGTTAGACTTTACAAGAGAGATTAAAAATGATTCTATCAAGATACAAAGATGTGAATCCATAATCACTACAAGATGTCTAGAAAGAATTTTAATACAGTTGCCATCTGCAAAATTCTTAAGTTAAAGAAGATGCCTTCTAGAGTTGTTAGAAAGTGTAAGTTGATTTCAAACAGTGATGAACTTTCTGAATGCCTCTTCTACGTTGGATTTTACTATGATATTTTCAAATAGGTAAAGCCATTTTTTTATTCTGCAATGAGCTAAAGAATGGCATAACAACAAGCAAGGTCAATGAAGATATCCAGGGAGTAATGTATGAATATTATATATATCCAGTGTTGTTAGACTGTTTTTTGCAAATGATATTTGTCATGGCCACAAGATACAGAAAGATGGAGAAAGCTATTTTTCCACCAAAGAAGGGCAAATTGATAGTTTTTAAAAATTTGGAGAGGGAAATGAATATATACATAAAGGTCATCAAATCTGTCTGCATAAGACCACTTTGAAATGTGTGGGTTCTTTACAAACAAATATGGCTCCATTTTATCAACATTTGAACAGATATGTTCATGTATAGTAAACAAACACAACCTAATGATAAGTTACTTCTACGAAACATGTGGAAACAAGTATCACAATTCAGGTGCTTGGAAACCCTGACAAAGTGCCTCTGTGAATAGGTTCAGTATATGCCTCACGACTCTAAGTATATTGGGTTTCAGGAATGAGAAACAAGTCCACATTCTGAGATGACAGTGTATGATAAGATGAGACTGGAAATCAAGGACTTTCATTATGTTTTATTCTTGTGGATAATTCAAAAATGAAATGAAGCGATCCCAGCAACATCTATTCATTGAGGCATTTATTTAAGTTTATTTTGGTTTTGAGGCATTTTCATGAGATATTTTTCAACTTATTTGGGCCCTGAAGCATGTCAACTTATTTTGGATATGAGGCATTTTTCAACTTATTTAGGCCTTAAAAGACCAAAATGTTGATTATTCTGTGACAGTGCTCACTTACAGAACAATAAGAACTGTGGGTTACTTCAATCTAGGATTTGTTCTCTCTGTCATGACAAGAGCCTTTTTGATGGAAGTGCCTTGCGTCATATTTCAGATGATAGATACATGTGATATAATCCCACAAAATGCCACAGGCTTAGCAGAAGCTATTATGAAAAGTAAGGGGAAGAATGATCCAGAATTCTATATTGATTGTCAGGGGACAATAGTCATTTCTGCAATCGGGCATATGTCCTTTGAAAGGGTTTATAATAGCAAACCTCACAAGGGCAACCAGAACTCTGAGGTGTTCACTCTGCACACCTCAGACCCCTACAATGTAGTAAAGGTGACAGCCAAAATAGAAAGTCACAAACTCACACTGTTCAATGACCAATTTTTGGAAGTTGAGACTGATAAAATCTGTATTTACTCAGAAGATTATTTTCCTGTTAGAACCTCTGGGTGTAATTTTGACAATAATTTGTATTGGGCTGATGACACAAGGGGGAAACATAAACTGCAGGCACTGGACTTCAGCAGTACAGGAGCAGCCGTGTGCAAGGCCATTCAAGAGGGAAAGGCTGGTGATCACATTGCCACACGTTTTTGTGCATGGTGTCATGAAAGGTCTTAACCCCTGACATCATGTGCTTTCACAGCAAGATGGTTCCAGTATTTAGAAATGGGCCTTGTGCATCATATACTTCATAAGAGCTTGGAAAATTCTCACCCAAGTATTGCAAAATGCCAAACATCTCTGCATGCTTGCTATGTTCTCCCCAAAGTAAAAATTCATTCTAGGTAAATTCTGGCCTTGGATGCCGAGTAAATAATCTGGATTGTCAAGTGCCCTTCACTCTTTCTGGGTTTATGGCAAAAAGGAGACACTGAAAGGCATTAAATTTTCTGCCACCTTTAGAAGAACTTGTCAAAGAAACACTCTGACTCTCCCCATCTGACTGTTGTAGTCATATGCCGCCAACACCAACCTGAATTTTTATAGCAATTATTACATAGTGATCACAATCACATTCAAGTCCACATTCTAAGTCTTAGCCAGGTTTTACAGAAACGCTGATGATGTTCTGTAGACCTTTTAGTGGCTACAATCAATGACTTGGAAGACAAATTTGGCTTGCTCACTGTTTCAACAGAATATACTGGTGAATCCTGCTCTGTCAGTGTATCTCACATGTGTGTCTGTCTCTCTTGTTGTGTTAGAATTCAGTGTTCCAGAATGTTAACTTCTACAAATACCTGTATATAGAGCAAAAGAGAAGCTCTTCAAGGCAAATACAGTGTATGTTGTATAAGCGGAGCTCTCTAGCCTTGGATTTGAAACGGTGATGTTTATTGTACAGAAAAAAGGTATTCCTTTTTTATATTTTATTTTTAATTTTTGTGAATACAAAGTATTTGTGGGTTACATGAGATGTCTTGATATAGGCATGTAATGTGAAATAAGCACATACCCTCAATCATTTATTCTTTGAGTTACAAACAATCCAATTACACTTTTTATATTTTTTCAAATATATGATTATTATTGACAGTAGTTGCCTAGTTGTGCTAGCAAATATTAGGTTTTAGTCATTCTTTCTATTTTTTTGGTAGCTGCTAACCATTCCCACCTCCCCCTACCCTGTCAGTACCCTTCCCAACTCTGGTAATCATCCTTCTACTCTCTCTGTCCATGAGTTCAATTGTTTTGATTTTTAGATTCCAGAAATAAGTGAGAACATGTGATGTTGGTCTTTGTGCCTGGCTTATTTCACTTAATGATGTTCAGTTCCAATATCTAGTTGCAAATGACTGGCTTTCATTTTTCTATGGATAAATAATACTCCATTGTATATCTGTACCACACTTTCTTTCTTTTCTTTTTCTGTTATTATACTTTAAGTTCTGGGGTACATGTGCCGAATGTGAAGATTTGTTACATAGGTATACACGTGCCGTGGTGGTTTGCTGCATCCATCACCCATCATCTACATGAGGTATTTCTCCTAATGCTGTCCCTCCCGTTTCTGCCACCCACTGCTATCCCTCCACTAGCCCCCCCACCCCCCAACAGGTCCTGGTGTGTGATGTCCCCCTCTATGTGTCCATGTGTTTTCCCTCTTATGAGTGAGAACAAGCATGCACCACATTTTCTTTATCTATTCATCTGTTGATGGACACTTAGGTTGCTTCAAAATCTTAGTTATTGTAAACAGTGCTACAACAAACACAAAAGTGCAGATATCTCTTTAATGAACTGATTTCCTTTCTTTTGGGTATACACGAAGCAGTGAGATTGCTTGATGATATGGTTGATATGGTAGATCAATGTTCAGATTTTTTGAACGACCTTTAAACTGTTCAAGGAGATGGGCCTTTTGTGATTATTTCATTGAGATATCCACCCTATGAGTATTTGAAAGGAATGCAAGTTGCTGGAAAATGAGAATGAAGAATGCAAAGTGATCAGGCTACAGTGTCATGTCACTTTTCATTCTGAGGTGAAAAAGGGAGTGTGTTTAATAGAAAATATCTTTCCAAGTGAGACTCTGTCTCAAAAAAAAAAAAAAAGAAAAGAAAAGAAAAGAAAGAAAGAAAAAGAAAATATCTTTCCAGGGTAAAATTTTAGGTGTATTGTTTTAGTGTCACAGTCTTGGATGATGGGCCCCTGGAAGCTCTCAACATCTCTTCTTGAGTGGAGAGAGTGTTAAGCCCCAAATCAGATGGAGTAGTACAGTTTCATCTTTTGACAAGAGGGCAGCAACTTGATTACTTTGAGTGCTATTCAACAGTCTCTGCTTTAATTGAAAATGCAATGCAAGCCAACTATGCTGCTGCTAACTCCTTGCTGGACCTGTTCTGCTACCATCACAGAAACTGTGGTCTCACTGGACAATCGATTAACTAGGGAGCCTTGAATCTTGGATGACTGCTGAAAAAACATTATCTTCAAAGCATTTTAGCCGCCAGAGGAATACTAACTTTTCAAATATCCCACATCCATTAATATCTTGAATCATGCTTGATTCGGAATAATTCTTAGCAAGCCATGTTAAGTGGGCTATCTGGCCTTGGATTTGAAATGGTGATGTTTATTATACAAAAAGGAGATTGTCCTGTTGTAATTATTTTATTGAGAAAGTCAACATCTGAACACTTAAAAAATGCAAGTTGCTGGAAAATTAGAATGAAGAATGCAGAATGGTCAGACTACAATGTACCATCAAATTTGATTTCAAGAAATTACAGGAAAACTTTCCCCAAGTTCCATCTAAAAGAATTTACTTCTACAAAGAATTCCAAGATAAATTAAATTTTCTAATTTTCTGGAAGAGTTTTACATTGTTTTTACTCATTCTTCATCCCAAGTATCAATCGATGAGTTATTTTGCCAGAGAATTCATGAATATGAAACTCAAAGACAATCCAATATCCACATTGCTTACATCATTAGGCATAGATTCAATGTTAGACAGCTCTTTTGTGATTTAAAGGTGTAAATGCCTCTTAGCAAACTGCTTGATCCAGATGCAGCTCTGCAAATTCTAAAATGGTTTCTGGAAGATCAACTGACTTCAGAGAGGAGAGGAGTGGCCACAACCCACCTGAAATTAAAAAAAAAACCCAACTATGCAGCATGCCAAATTAGAATGAGAACAGAGGTACAAGATTATAAACAGAATGCATCAAACTTGTCTTAAGTTTACCTAAAGTTTATTTTCATCAGGCAACTTCGATCAACATTAAATTGACGTTCTAAGCTAACAAGTCTTTAGAATTTTTATATGTTAGTAAACATTCTCTATATTGTTATTTTTATTATCCAAGGCTAATTCTAAAATGTTTAGTAAAATTTAAAAATGAGTCTTCATTGATCAAAAAATGAAGTTTGTTAAAGTTAGTACTTTCCTAATTAAATTGGTCATTGTTGGTCTTTTTGTTTGGGACTTCTGCAAAACTCCACTGAAAATAAATTAGTAGAAATTGTTCCTAAAAACCCAAAACTGAAGAATTTAGTCAATTGTTTTCACAAAGAAAAGAAGGAAATTTGCTTAATTAGTAGAGCGTATCATCTCTATTATTCTTGTTGTTCTTGATTAGTGTTCTGAGACAGATATGATGGCAAGTAATTACACAATTAAAATAAATATATAGATTTTTATTGTATTATTTATTTATTTATTTATTTGAGTATCAGCCTCACTCTCTCATCCAGGCTGGAGTGCAATGGCACAGTACCATCTCCCTACAAACTCTGCCTCCTGGGTTCAAGTGATTCTCCTGCCTTAGCCTCCTAAATAGCTGGGATTACAAGCATGCACCACCATACCAGGATGATTTTTGTATTTTTAGTAAAGACAGGATTTCACCATGTTGGCCAGGCTGGTCTCAAACTCCTGACCTCGAGTGATCCTCCTGCCTCAGCCTCCCAAAGTGTGGGGATTACAGGCGTGAGCCACCGTGCTGGGCCAAGATTTTTAAATTAAGTGAAAAAAAAAAAAAAAAGATCATGCAAAGCCCTTGAAATCATTATGGCCTAATTCTAAAGTTTTTTACTACTATGCTATGACTCAACATCAGTTAAGGGCTCACTCTGGAACAGGTGCTACATTAAATTTTAGCAAACGTCAAAAGATCCCTGTGTGATAACAGGCTTCAGTGTTGAAGTTTGTGTGCGTGTACTAGTCTCGAAGTTTCTGGTGTCCACTAATCCAGTATTAGTCTAGACACCCACAAATCTAGTTAGACTTCAGAGTAGAACTGAGAGTAATCCTTACCACGGGAGACTGCGGTGTGGTGTCTATTTGGAAATTATTTTTCCTTGATTGTTCTTTGCCTTCTATGAGTTCTTCAATGCAAAGAATATTTTTACATTGTTATATGGTTAAACTGATTAGTCTTTCTCTTAAACTTCTCCCTCTGTGATCTTACTTAGGTTTCTCCTACCCATACTATTTTATGTACATATTTACAATGTTTTTTCTTATACTGTTTTTTGACTCATTTTATTTTTCAGCTATTTTAGTGTAACAAAAATAATATCAATTAATTGCAAAAATACTGAAGTGGCATATAACTTTCTGAAGTGCGTATGTATTTTTATTTTACCAAGGAGATGGGGGGAATGCCGTGTTATGTTTTTACATACATTTTGGCTGTTACACAGATGAAGCATCTTCTCGCTTGTTAATACATGATGTATACTATTTCTTCTGTGCAATTCCTCTTTAAATTCTTCACTCATTTTCCACTGGGGTTTGCAAGGTTCAAGTTACTTGAATAAGCTCTACATATTCTGAATATTCCCTTTTTGTTATATATACCGTGTAAATATTTTCTTCGAGTCTGTTATTTGTCTTTTAACATTATCAATAGTTTGCTAAAAATTTTTTTTAGGTAGTAAAATTTGTCCATCTTTTACTTCGTGATATTTGTATTTCATGTTATGAATCAAAGGCATGACTATTTTTCAAATTTAGTTTTTTGCAGTACTGATTTTATATTTTATCTCAGTTTTTATGTTATTTGAAATTCATTATTATTTGTTTTTCACATTTCAGTTAATACCCAAATTTCTCAAAGCAGTTCTTTTCTCTACTGATTTCAAATGCTACATTTGTCATCTCTGGAATTCCTATATATTTCATGTCTGACTGCCACACTACTGCTGTGGATGTGTTTTGTACCAGCACAGTACTGTAGGGTTGTCAAATGATCTGGTATCTGGTAAAAGTGGACTTCCACTCACTGTTGCTTTCTTCTTTCCAGAGAATAAAGAAGTGATTTTTATATCGGTTCTCATTTTTGTATTAACTTTGAAGTAGTTTGCCCAATCACATGCCAATTACCATCTGTTGAAATTTCAGTGTTTTTAGATGTGAATTTTAGGAGTAAAAACCATCTTTTTTTTTTTTTTTAGCACTTCAGATTTTTATTGTCTTTTTTCAATTCAAAATATATTCTAAATTTCATTTCGATCGTTGTTTCTTTATGAATTATTTAGAAGTCTGATATTTGATTTCCAAACACTTGTGGTTTACTAAGTATCTTAATAATACTGACTTTTTTTCTGTTTCAATTTTTATTTTAGTTTCAGGGGGCACATGTGCAACTTTGTTATGTAGGTAAATTGCCTGTTGCTGGGGTTTGGTGGCAAAACAATTTAGTCACTGACGTAGTGAGCATAGTACCTGACAGGTATAGGTAGTTTTTCAATCCTCACCCCTTTCCACCCTCTCCTCTCACACAGGCACCCTGTGTAGTATCGACTGGTCCCTTTTTTGCCCATGTGTAGTCAGTGTTTAGCTCTTACAGGTGATAATATGTGGTTTTTGTTTCCTCTTCCTGTGTTAATTTGCTTGATTAATTTGGTAGATGTAGCCTCCAGCTACATCCATTTTGTTGAAAAAGCCATAATTTCATTCTTTTTTGTGGCGCATAGTGTTTCATTGTGTATGTACTACACGTCTTTATCTAGTCCACCACTGATGCGCCTCTGGGTTGATTCCATGTCTTTTCTATTGTGAACAGTGCTGTGATAAACATACAAGGACATATGTCATTTTGGTAGAATGATTTCTGTTCCTTTGTGTATAAACCCAGTAATGAGATTGCTGTGTCAAATGGTAGTTCTGTTTAAGTGCTTTGAGAAATCTTCAAACTGCTTTCTACCATGACTGAATTGATTTACATTCCCAGCCCACTGTGTAAGTTTTCTCTTTTCTGCAGCCCCACCAACATCTGTTACTTTCTGACTTCTTATTACTAGCCATTCTGATTGGTGTGAGATGGTGCCTCATTGTGGTTTTGATTTGCATTTCTCTAATAATTAGTGATTCGAGAAGTTGAGTATTTATTCATATGCTTGTTGGCTGCATGAATGTCTCTTGAGAAGTCTCTGTTCTTGTCTTTTGTCCATTTTTTAATGGGGTTGTTTGTTTTCTGCTTATAATTTTGTTTAATTTCTTTATAGATTCTGGATGACGCTTTTGTCAGGTGCATAGTTTGCAAAAATTTTCTCCCATTCTGCAGGTTGTCTGCTTACTCTGTTGATAGTTTCTTTTGCTGAGCATAATCTCTCTAGCTTACTTAGGTCCCATGTGTCTATGTTTTTGTTGCAATTGCTTTTGGACACTTGGTCTTGAAAACTTTGCTATAGTTTATGGCCAGAATGGTATGTCCTGGTGGTAAGATATTTTTGGCTATTCAGACTATTTTTCGGTTTTATATAAGTTTTAAAATAGTTTCTTTTCTCATTCTGTGAAAAACGACTTGGTAGTTTGATATAATAGTATTGAATCTGTAAATTACTTTAGGCAGTAAGGCCATTTTAACATTATTTCTTCCCATTCATGAGCATAGAATGTTTTTCCATTGGTTTGTATCATCTCTGATTTATTTATTTATTTATTTATTTATTTCTATTTTCTTTCTTTTTGCTTCCTTCCTTCCCTTCCTCTCTTCCTCCCTTTCTTTTTTTTCCTTCCCTCCCTCCCTCCCTCCCTCCCTCCCTTCCTTCCTTCCTTCCTTCCTGATGGAGTTTCGCTCTTGTTGCCCAGGCTGGAGTGCAATGGCATGATCTCAGCTCACTGCGACGTTCACTTCCCAGGCTCAAGTGATTCTTCTGCCTCAGCCTCTCGAGTAGCTGGGATTACAGGTATGCACCACCACACTTGGCTAACTGTATTTTCAGTAGAGATGGTGTTTCTCCATGTTGGTCAGGCTGGTCTCCAACTTCTGACCTCATGTGATCTGCCTGCCTCGGCCTCTCAGAGTGCTGGGATTACAGGCGAGAGCCACCGCACCCAGCCATCATCTCCGATTTCTTACAGCAGTGTTTTATAATTCTCACTGTAGAGATCTTTCACCTCCATGGTTAGTTGTATTCCTAGATATTTCATTCTTCTTGTTGCTGTTATGAATGGGGTTGCAGAACTGATTTGGCTCTCAGCTTGAACATTGTTGGTGTATAGAATTGCCACTGAGGAATGCCATTGAAGAATTGCCACATAGTTTTTGACAATGGTTGAACTCATTTACACTCCCACCTGCAGGATATACATGTTCCTTTTTCTCCATAACCTTGGAGAGAAAAAAATGCCACTTTTTGTACATTGCTTTTGTATCCTGAGACTTGATAAACAACTGAAGTTATTTATCTGTCCTAGGAGCTTTTGGGCGGGGACTGAAGGGATTTCTAGGTATGGAATCATATTGTTACATTGTTTGTGAAAAGAGATATTTCACTTCTTCTCTCCTTGTTGGATGGCTTTTCTTTCTTTCTCTTGCCTGGTTGCTCTGGCTAGGACTTCTTGTACTGTGTTGAATAGGATGACAGTTGACATCCTAGTCTTGTTCTGGTTCTCTGGGGAATGGTTCCAGCTTTTGCCCATTTGGTATGATGGTGGCTGTGGGCTTGTTATAGATGACTCTTACTATTTTGTGATATGTTTTTTCAATGCCTAGTGTTTTGAGGATTTTTAACATGATAGATGCTGAATTTTATGGAAAGCCTCTCTGCATCTTTTGAGATGATCATGTGGTTTTTGTTTTTAGTTCTGTTTATGTGATGAATCACATTTATTGATTTGCATATGCTGAACCAGCCTTGCAGGAATAAAGCTTACTTGATCACAATAGATTAACTTTTTGATTGTTACTGAATTTGGTTTCTCAGTATTTTGTTGAGGTTTTTTTCTTTCTTAGAGTCTTGGTCTCGTATTTTGTTGAGGTTTTTTTCTTTCTTGGAGTCTTGGTCTCGTCTCTAGACTGGAGTGCTGTGGCACAGTCTTGGCTCACTGTTTTCCAGGGTGTTGAGATGTAACTTCCCCATGTCACACTAGGTGTTGTTTCCCACGTTTTCATAACATGATGGATTGGGGGTGTTGCGAGCATTGGGAAAAGAAAACCGAGGTGGCTTAATGTTGCTGTGTTTCAGCAGTTGAATGTTTTGATTATTTATGTGTTTTTCTTTGTATGATTATTTGGTTAGTATTTAATATCATGTAGTGCTCTGTCTTCTCCCAAAATGATGTGTATTTAACTTAGGAAAGAAATGTAAAGTTTGGTAAATATGATGGGTCATGAAGGTGCAGTGAGACTGACTCCATCCTACTTTCAGGGATAGGCCATCCCTCTCTGACAGTGAAAAGTGACACTATCTTTACACCATAGTACCACACAGGGCTAGAGCTTCCCTGAACCAGCTGGGGATTGTTACCTAGACCCAATGTTGTTTATTGTTAAATCTTGTGGCTTGAAATATCTACTAACGGAATTGGATATCTGAGTCTAAGTTACTATTTCTGACATACATAATTGAATCAAATGCAGGATATATATGTTAATTTTTTAAATTTACCACTTTATTTCAATTATTCTACCAAGCTCATGAAATATTTCACTATTTGTCATAAAAGTGAGGTTATGGCACATGTATTCTAAGATTTAATACATTGTTTCTAGGGGAGATTGAAATATAGTATCCTGAATCTTAAATATTATAGAACTTTTAAACAATTTGGCTTAGTTGGAGAAGGCTGTGGCATATTTAAGGATGTTATGTATTCCACATTACTACTTAAGAAACAGATTTTCAGGCTTGGTATGGTGGCTCATGCCCATAATACCTTTGGGAGGCTGAGGCAGGAGGATTGCTTGAGGCCACGGGTTTGAGACCAGCTTAGGCAACAGAGGAAGACTTGGGTTCTGTGAAAAAAAAATCAAAAAAGAAACATGCTTTTGAGATAATAGTGAGAAACTTTTGATTCTGTTACATGTCACACTAAGACTAATTGAAGATAAGGAAAATTGATTCTGGAGATAACAGAGACAAGGTAGACAGAACACGTTGATTTCTGATGTAACAGACAGTGTTTGATGAAACTGTTTATAGAAAGGAAAGCCAAAGTGCCTTATTTTTCTGAGATACCTTTTAATAACCCAACTGGTAGGTGAATAAAGCTTTTGAAAAAATTCAAAGCAAATGTTACTAATCACCAGACAAGTAAATTGTAGTTCTGACAAGCATCCACTGATACAGAATCATTGAATTCTAGAGCTGGTCAGGGCTTTTTAAAGGCATCTATTCCAATGCTGATAATTTACAAAGAAAGGGCTGAGAATCATAGTTATTACATAACCTGCCCAAAGTCACAACGGTAGTTAAGTAGCCACATTGGGACTCATAACTCCTTATCTTGAGTTCTAGACCAGAGCTCTCTATCCTAAAGCAATGTCAGAGTTATTCTTTTTTATTATAATAATAAAAAGTAATTTTTTATGCAGACTGGGTCTCACTGTGTCGGCCAGCCTGGACTCAAGTTCCTGGCGTTAAGCGATCCATCTGCTTTGGCCTTCCAAATTGCTGAGATTATAGGCAAGAGCCACCACACACCTGGTCTTTGGAGGGACTCTTGCTTTGTGTGTTTGGGCTGGTCTTCCTCTGTAGTCACTAAGATGTTCCTGCAGTATAGTATGAAACCTTTCTGCACAAATTCAGTGGATCCTGTGATTTTATTTTACATGTAATAAGATACATTACAAATAAATTCACAATTAATAAGCTAGACAATTCACAGTCAGTAACCTATGGCCTAGAAAGGTTTATTCCTTTATCCATACATGTTTATAAGGAAATGCTTGAAGAAGTCGTCTAAATATGCAGATTCCTAACCATCCCCAAGAGAAAGGGAACCACTGGAAGGCAACTTGGGAGGGTGTGTGGGGTTGTTCTGAGGTTGTGAAAGCCACTGAAATTCACACATAAGGAGGTAGAAAGGGTAGGTACTTTTGAGTACCTACAAGTGCAGGGTATAACTTGGGCTTCATTAAGATGCACCACCTTTGGGGTCAGATGGAACTGGATTGAGTCCCAGTTACATCTTTCATTACTACACGCTAGTGAATTTGTTTTCAAGTCCTCTGAGTCTCAGTCTTCTCATCTATAAAACATGGGGTTGTTATGAGGCTTACATATGGTACATGTGTAAAAATGTAGACACAATGCCTGTCATTTTGTAAGTGTTCAATATATGGAGGGGGAAGTATTAGTTTTCCCTCATTTAATTTTTAGAACAAGTCTATAAAATTTGAGTTATTCATATTTCTTAGACAAACCAAGCATGAGAAAGATTCCATAAATCCCCACAGTCACAAAGCAGCTCCCAGTACTTTTACTTGGTAATTACTAGTTAAAAGTGGCAATGGCTGGGACCAGTGGCTCATGCCTGTAATCCCAGCACTTTGGGAGGCCAAGGTGGTGGACCACTTGAGGTGGGGAGTTAGAGACCAGCCTGACCAACATGGAGAAACCCCGGCTCTCCTAAAAGTACAAAATTAGCCAGGTGTGGTGGTGCATACCTGTAATCCCAGCTTCTTGGGAGGGTTGAACCCAGGAGGCTGAGGTTGTGATGAGCCGAGATCATGCCATTGCATTCCAGCATGGGCAATAAGAGTGAGACTCCATCTCCAAAACAAAACAAAACAAAATGTACCGTGTAAGCCAGGATGATCTCGATCTTCTGACCTAATCATCCACTCACGTCAGCCTCCCAAAGTGCTGGAGTCACAGGATTGAGCCACCCTGGCTGGCCCAGTTTTCTTTTACATAAGCCTTTTCATTTGTTGAAACCATAGATTCTAAGTTGCTCTGTCCAAGTGAAAATTAGAAAAATGTGATGTACTTAGTGTATAAATTTTAGAAAACTTCCCTTACTACTCTCGTTAGTTTGATTGAATATGTGTGTAATTTTTTAAAAATGTAAACTGAATAAATATGTATTGAAAATGTAAGTTGTCATCACAGAGTACACTTAGTTCATGGCAATGCTTTCTCTGAAGGCAACTGCAAAAACTTACTCTCTCTTCTTTTTAGTTTGCAAGAACTCAGAGGCCACAGGGGAAAGGGAGTTCTTTGGATATGAGATAAGGCATGAAGCAGATGTGGTTACAGTAATTTTGGTATAATTCATTGTAAGGTGATGATCTCTAGGAACGTCATCACAGTGGAGAAACCTGAAAGCTCCCAGCAGCCAGCAATGAATGAAAGGTGTGGGCGGGGCTGCCAACAGGGTGGGGCCTGGTGAGCCATGTGCCTGGGCTCCCACATCACAGTGGGGGTGGGGGTGCCTCATAGAGGAGACTCTGCTGATTGGTTCCTGGGCACAAGGTTGGAACTCTGGTGGTTGGTAGGGCAACCTCCTTCAGTTGGTAGAAAGCAGCGGAAGGAGGAACTCCCTCTGTGCTGTCTTCTCCGCGATCTCAGCTCTCAGGCTTGTTGTATCTAGACCCATTTTAAATAAAGCAGGTTCCCTTAAGACCAGTCATCTCAGGGGAGGCAGCTGAGGCGGGGCGTGAGCTGTTAGTGGGGTGCAGCCCCATAGCCAGGGGCTGGCCCTGCCAGCGTGCCTGTGTTTGAAAGAGGTGAAGTGTTGAACTCTGCAGACTGGGAGGCAAGGGAAGGTCCAAGTTGCTGGAGAGGAGCCAACGTGCCCCATGGGGAACACGCTGGGTTGTTTTTGCCCCAAAGTTCGCTGCAGGCGAGGTCTGCGTAGGCTGTCTGAGGATCTGTCCTTCATCTCTGACATCAGTGAGGCGATGGCAAGCATAGGTGCGGGCCAAGACAGAAGGAACATGTCCAACACCAGTGCCAGACCCATTTGGGGCCCGAGCTGGCTGTGTGGGGTGGTGTCTGGCAGCTGCGATGACATCTATAAGGCAGTGTCAAGCATAAGTGCAGACCAAGGCAGAGAGGAGCAGAGGCCGGGCAGAGGGATCATGGAGCTCCCCAATGCCAGACCCAAGCAGAGCCAGAATGGGGTGCATGGGGCAGAACCAATAGAGTGGGAGGTGGTGGAAGCACCAGGCCCTACTGCTGTGGAGCCTGCCCTGTGGGATTTGGGAGCCGGTGAGGGCCATGACCTGCAGCACATCAGCGACCAGGAGATGCCCAAAGGTAAGGAGATGAATGAAACTGTTTGCCCTCAGGCACGCCTCTGGCTGACACTGATATCAGTTCTCACCCCTTCCCCCACCCCAGAGGCATCCACAGCCTCCGGCTCCTCCCTCCTGCCCCTAGCCAGTTTTCCCAGGCCCATGTACCAGGCAGGAGGACTGGCCCTGCCTCGTGCCTGCCCCCACCCTTCATTCTTTCTTCCTGCTGCATCTGGAGGTTTCTTTCCTCCTCCCTACCCCAATGCCCAGTTCTGGTTCTTTTCTCAACCCCAGGCTGGCCAAAAGCTAAGTTTTCCAAATAGAAAATGTATGCTACAGATTTCATTGCTGTAGAGGAAGTGTCTTACAGCTCTTCTGTTTACTTTGGTTGGCCTCTTACTTTATTTAAATGTTAGAATAATTAAGCTTCATGATAAATGTGACTTTGTAGCTGAAAGGTATTGTTCTCTCAGAATATTCAAAAATGGTGAAAGAATGAACAAAGATAGTATGTGAATGAATTGTGCCTTTATACACAAAGCATGCCAGTACTTGTGAAAGCTTTTCCTTATTCGGTGGTGTAAAGTAAGCCTCTGAGTGCTTTCACACACCAGGTAGCAGATGGGTAGTGTTGGATGACGGCCCAAAATAGACTCTTCATATCATTTTTGGGGATTTATAACACATTTATAGGTATGTCTCATTTGACCCTGTCTACAAAAAAATGGTTTATAATTAGCCAGATATGGTGGCTTGCACCCACAGTCCCAGCTGCAAGAGAATCTCTTGAGCCCAGAAGTTTGAGCCTTCATTGAGTTCTGCTGGCTCCATCTCACCATTGCACCACTCCAGCCTGGGCAACAGAGTGAGACTTTGTCTTTTTAAAAAATTGTTTTTGCCCCAAACAGCTCTTTGTTTTAAGACATCTGAAATATTGAGCAGGTGTCTGACCACAGTAATTGACCACAGCCTCTTACTGCTTGAGATTTTCCCTGAAAGGTGCTGGTAATAGCAGCCTAGAGGAAGGTGGTTATATTTGATAAGTAGAGGGAGGAGGGCATGCATGTGATTCATCTAAAAGTTGCATCTGTTTATTTAGGTGCAAGTTTGAAAAAGAAGTCCCAGCCCCTTCCTGGTTTTATTCCACATGCATGGAGAGATCCTGTGATTTTTGCATTCTCCAGTAGAATTGGGACATTGGTGCCTTTATTTTCTTGACATTTATTACTAAGAACTTTTCTCAAGACTGTGATGCAAATGGTTATGTAGCTTTAAAAAGAATCTTTTCTACTCACCTCACTTATAACATTGTTTCCTCTTCTTCGCTACAGATACTGCTTCTGACCATCCAAGGGCAAGCACACTCTTCCTGAGAAGGTATCAAATGAGCGATGAGACAATGTTGTTTCCGCCTTCAAGGAAAACCTACAACTTTTATGTCTTGTGTATTACAGAAAGTATTTAGAGAAACTCAGATATTAGTTAAAAAGTTCAACTTTTCATAGATTTCCTTGTCTTATTTTCATATGTGATATAATTTCCTTTGGTTGTCACTGTTTATGGAAACATACAGACTTTGTGTTTACACATTTGGTGACTTTTTACCAACACAATTAATTGGCCACATGATTTAGTGTAGTAATCACAGATTTATGCCTTTTTCTTCATACATAAAGAAAACAACAACAACAGTAACAACAACACCCCAAGAAGTTCCTGTATGAACTCAGAGCAGGAACTCACTCATCACCAAGGGGATGGCGCTAAGGCATTCATGAGGGATCTGCCCCCATGATCCAAAGACTTCCCCACCTCCAACACTGGGGATTACATTTCAGCATGAGATTTGGAGGGCACACACATTGCCTAATTTGTTTTGCCTTTCCTTATGTACATGGGGATTCTTTCATTTGATCGTAAGAGAATATGTGTTAGGTCAAAAAGTAAAACTGTGTTTTTAAATTTTACATTATGAGATTCATCATGCCAGATTATTTAAATGTTAAATTTTGCTTAAATTAAAAAATTTTTTTAAATTGATTTTTTATATATGGTGATAATCAGATTTATCTTGTTTTATATAGTGATGGTCAGATGATTAGCAAGTACTTTTATTCTATGCTATTTTATTATACCAGAATTGATTAGTTATATTTTTATTTTTAGTGCAAGGAAAGAGGAGAAGCTTTCGCCTATATTCTGTAAGTAAGCTTTTGAAAAGTTAAATTAATTGTTTAAATTAAAAGTCTATCTGTCATGATTCCTTAGAAATGTAACAGGGACCCAGTGCTGTTAGCATGATCCTTTCTTGGTGAATTTTCTAACTCTTTTCTATTTTCCTAAGTGTCAGATTTATGCAGGAAAGTCTTTAACTTACTGTGCCCATTTTTAGGGCTGTCTGACATTTATGTTAAATTTAAATTATTTGGTTGTGATATAAAGATCTGCCTTAAATATTTAATCTTTTAAAATGAAATCAAATGGAAAATAGCAAAGTCCATTTTCTTCAACACTTTCTGCTGACTCCCTGTCATAGCAGCTGAAAGTGCAGCATCCTCACTCCACTGCGCCCTTATTTCCCTCCCCGTTTCTTCCACCTGTAACACATTTTTAATTAAATCATGAAGTGATATTTACATGATTATGACTATGCACATCATATTCACTGCTGAGTCATGTAATGTTCTGAGTGTGCCTCCTCCTTGTACATCCTTCATTCTTTCTCTTAAATATTTCTGAAACCTGAACACTTCTGCACTTCTCCCAGATAACCTCCCTTTTCCTAGCCCATGATGGCTCATAAAGCCAAATAATGACCATTAGCCTCCAGCTGGTCTCTTTGTTTTCACATCCTTCATTTGTGTGTGTGTGGAATTGATTTTCTGACTATATTCCTTTGGCTCTCTAATGACTGTTCTTCCCCAAGAGTTGTAACATGTGTCACACGCCTATCAAAAATGTGTTTTATTTACTAAAAAATACATTCCATGTTTTTTTCTTGAAGCAAGTTTACTTGGCCTTTCATTATCATCCTCAGGATAGACTGTGTTTTCCTAGGCTGCCCTGCACCTGTTGGCCCGGGAGCTCTCTCTGAAATCTTCTGGGACCACTAATGTTGGGTCCCTGAGTCCTAGACTGTGCATTGCCCTCTGCCTTTTGTTATTCCCCAGTGGTGCTGGAGTGCAGTTTCTGAGGAAAGGCTCATGTACACACATGTTTAGAGATCTGGGCTTTCTTAAAACCCCTCCTTTGATATAGAGTATAAAATTCTAGAATGAAAACTAAATGTCATGGCTTGAAAACATTTTTCTATTGCATTTTTATTATACTGTTTTTGAAAGTATTGCCATTGTGTGATACGTCATATGTAATCAATGTTTCCATCTGTCAAGTTTTTAGGACCTTCTGTATCCCTGAAATTCTGAAATTGTATCACAGAGCTTGGTATGGACCTTTTATTTTATTGTGACCATTAAGTCTACAATAAAAGTTAGAGAATTTTTCTGTGTGCTCTGTTTTGTTATTATTTTAGTCTAATGATTCAGATGTTGGACCTCTTAGACCAGTATTTCTGCATTGATCTGTAATTTCTTCACCTCTGATTTTCCAGTTTGTCTTTTGTTCTGTTCTTAGAGATTCTTTGACTGTCCATGCTAACTGTTCTATTGAATTTTTTAAAATCTCCTTAAGGGTGTTTTAAGATTTGTAAAAAAGTTTTGCTCCTGAAATTTTACTGGTCCCAGGAATTTCTTTTTTCGTGTTGTTTTGATCTTTCATTGGAGGCTTTGCTCAAATGTGTGGTGGTCTTTGGCTTTCTTTCATTGAAAGCAGGACCTTTTTTTCACTGAGGGGGTCTCACTGTAGGGATTTGGATGTCGAGGCAGCTTTTCCTTTGAGGGACATCAGTGTATTATATGAGGGAATGAGGGTATTTTCTTTGCCATGGTTCAGTTTTCTTTCAAGAAGGGTCTCCCAATTTTCTGCCTGGGCAGTGCAAACATGGCTGCTGGCTTTCCAGAAGCAGGGTTGGGAAGCAAGGTGGAGTTTCACTTTGTGTGTGTCATTTACTCCCATTTCCCAGGTTTTAGTCCTGGTAGGTCTGAGCTCAGAAACCTTCAGGTATAATATATCCAGAGAATACACATCCACATTCCTTATAAGATGGGAGGACAGGTGGACCTGAGGCTCTAACCGCAGATTTACTATTAACCTTGCCAGCTCTCTTGTATGTTTCACCCTACCTTCCCAGGTACCATGCACTTTGATTTTGGAGACTGTGTTGGGTTCTTCAAAATACACAGGATTGCTTGTTTCTGTTCAAGTGGGCACTAGGGTTGTGTTTTCATGTCAGTTACTACTCCTCTATCTGCTTGTCACCTTGCAACATTGACTCAGAATCATCTGCTGTCAATCCTGCCTCCTGGTCCTGTGTATAGTGCTTATTTTGTGACTAATTCTCATGAGATTTAAGAAGGAAGAGAAAATAAATTTGTGGTCAATTCATCATATTTAACCCAAATTTAGAACATATATGTAAGTGTAAATCTAAGTTTAAGTCGAACATAATTATGACATTAATTCAGACAATTTTCTAGTTTTACCTATAATAAGTATAATACGTTTTTCCACTCAGGCCTTGTGTAATAATTCTATTCAAACTCCATACCTGCCATGTGGTCCCATTGCTGTGCAACATAGATAGAGCTGATTTTGTTAGCACACAAAGTATTGGAAATTTTCAAATTAGCTAAAAGTCATTACTTATTTTTAAAACATCTAAAACATGTCTTATAAAAAAGTGGGGAGAAAAAGTGATCTTGAGGGCCAGGTGTGCTGGCTCATGCCTGTAATCGCAGCACTTTGGGAGGCTGAGGCAGGTGGCTCTCTTGAGGCCAGGAGTTCGAGACCAGCCTGGCCAACATGCTGAAACCTTGTCTCTACTAAAAATACAAAAACTAGCCAGATGCGGTGGCACACATCTGTAGTCCCAGCTACACAGGAGGCTGAGCCATGAGAATTGCTTGAACTTGGAGGCGGAGGTCACAGTGAGTGATAGGAAATTTTAAATCAAAAAAATGGGGACAGATATCACCTAAACCTGTACCAACTAGTCTGTGTTTTGGTGCTTTTTCCCTGTTATTTTTATTCTTGTATATGGAATCTTCCTCAGAATTGACTTTTCTTATGTTAAAGTATTATGCTGCACAGGTGACAGGTAATATTGTTACAAGCTTGTCACAATGCTCTTAAAATCTTTAGGAGCCCTATTTTATTTTTTATGTGACAGTATCATCAAGCAATGAGCCCCATTTTAAAATTATAAAGTAAGTTCCTCTTGGCTCTGGCAGTCTTTTCATAGTTCTTAAAGGAGACGACCTTAGTGAATGGACAGGAAGTTGCATCCTCAGAACCTGGCCGAGTGTAAACCTCAGCCAAAGCAGCTGCAAGGGAACCCTCTAAAGGAATCTGTATGTGTGGCTTCTTATCAATGATGCCTTTTAAAAAATGTTGGAGCCTTTTTAAAAATTGTGCCTGTTTTCTCTTTGATTGACTTTCCTAGGCTATGTCACGGCCGTGTGAATACAAAGATCTGCATCAAGATGCTGCTGCTATGACAAGGATCATCAGCATGGATTTCATCAGGATTCAGCATACTAATGCCATCTTATCTTAAAGAGAGAAATTAGCATTATAAGGTCCTGGACTTGTCAGCTATAAGGACTACAAAATATCACTTCTCCTGCTGAAAAAGACCAGCAAAATTAGGATTTTCTTTCTTCATGTTTTTATTAAATATTTATTGTTGTTGTTGTTGTTGTTGTTGCTGTTGTTGCTGATTAGGATTTTCATAGAGTGGAGACTTCTTCAAATAACCACACTGTGAAGCTGGGTGATGGTGGCATGAACAGTGGGTGCCAGGTGCTACCTGCCCTTCTTGTTCCACTGAGTCCAGATGGCATTCCTAGGGCACCACCTTCTTGAACAACTCTTGGGGAGGAAGACTGTCACATGGACACAGCACATCCCAGTCCAGAGTCCACAGTCACCCGCAGTCCCAAGCAGGTGACAGTCTGAGCTGAGCTAGAATTCAAAAAACTTTAGAATTGGCTCCAGATTTGTGAGAGGACCTGGGTTTGGATCTCTGTCCATGGAGGCACTGAATGCACGATGACCAGAAACAACAACTATGGGAAGAGAGAATGGCATGGGGACAAGGCTGTCATTACTCCAGGTACCATGGGAGCTCAGGCCTGTTCATCTAGTCTTTGGAGGGAATCTGTGCATGTGAAATGACGCTCCCACATCATGGTTATAAATGGAGAGATGAAATCAGCTCATCTTCCCCCAGGCCCACAATGGTCATGCCAAAACACAGAGGCTTGCTGTGTGGCCAGGCTGGAGCCCAGTGGTGAGATCTCAGCTCTCTGCAACCTTTACCTCCCAGGTTCAAGTGACTCTCCTGCCTCATCCTCCCAAGTAGCTGGGACTGCAGGCATGAACCACCAACTCAGCTAATTTATATATTCTTAGTAGAGACCGGGTTTCATTACGGTGGCCAGGACAGTCTTGATCTCTTGACCTCATTCTGCCTGCCTCCGCCTCCCAAAGTGCTGGGATTACAGGTGAGAGCCACCGTGCCCAGCCTCTTGCATTTACCATTCACAATAAAGCAGTTTGGAATATCCCACTGTTGATTTGTGATTTCCTCCTCCAAATATAATCTGTGGCTCTGTATACATAATTGAATATTTTTGTGTATTGATATTTTGTGTCTGAAGATGAAATATTAGATGAAACATGTTAAAACATTTCATGCAAAGCCTTCAGTGGTTGTAGAGTCTACTCTTTGGTGAATACATGAATTAATCTATTTTAAATATTAAAATTTTTATTAGATGTGATAATGATATTTTCTCTTTTATCTTCATTTGTTAGATAGAGTTACTTACATTCTTCCATAATTAATGATACTGTATCTTATATTTGATGTACAAAACTCCTAGAATATTTGGAATTGATCATTGAAATTAAACAGCAAAATGAGAATTGCTGAAACCTAGTGATAATGTACTCATAATGGGTTTATTATCTATTATCTCTATCATTGTTAATTTTTAAAGTTTCCATGGAAAACTATACTATGAACTTAAAATTTTCTATAAAACCCTTCGTGCCCTGCACTTTAGCTCCAATGCATAATGAATAAAGGAAAATGGATTCTCCTGTGGGAATTCTGCTGGACTCTTCCTTTCTTTTCCCTTTAACCTGGGGGGAGCATCTTGAGATCACTATAGGGTGAGGCGACAATGAGTGGGGTCCCTAGAGCTGCCACTGGGAGGAGTGTTTATGTGGAGATGGGTTTTGTGGCCACGTTTCTTCCTTGGGTCTTTCTGGTTGTGATGGTGGCTTTGGGGATGGTTTCTGAGGATCCTCTCAGAGGAGTCCTCTGCCTGTGGTGTCTCCCCTGGGGGAAGACCTAAGGATATCTGGAGAGGGATTCATAGGGTTGCCCCTGTGTGACAGCGGTGCCTTTTGTGGGTCCAGAAAGCACCGTTTTAGGGGCGGTGGAACCTCATCTCCCCTGTAGGGTGAGTGGGATTTCTGAGGGAGTGCTGGAGGGAAGGAAGCCTTGTGTGTCGGGGTCGTTGTGCAAACTCAGTACAGCCTTAGACCTGGGGAAGTCATGATGGGGACTCAGAGTTGCTTGGGGCAGGAAAGGTGGTGGCCTAGGCAGTCACCAAGGTGTGACAGCATCGCTGATGTCAGGAGGCAGTTTTGGGAGGGGTCTTTGGAGGGGAAAAATTGTGGAGTCCCCACAGGTGGGGAAAGTGTGAGGGTGTTCCAAGGTTGGAGGTCAATTCGGAGTGGGTGGGAATAACCTAGGGGAGCTCTCAGGGGAATAATGGGCTCCCCAGGGGTCAAGGGTGGAAGGAAGGGGCCTAGGCAGGTCCTGTCTTGCAGGGCCTTTCTGTAGGGCATCTGAGAGATAAATCCCTGGGGCTTTATCCCTGAGGTCGCCGGTACCCCAGGTGGGGTGTTTCCCAGGGTCAGACCTTCCTGGGTCCTATAGAAAGGAAATGAAACTGGCTTCTTCCTCCCTACCACCTGGTTGACGCTTGGCAAACTCCCTTTGGGGAGTCCTGGGGCTTCTGGGTGGGGAAGCCCCTTGAGCCCTGGGGGACAGGCAGGCCACCCCTTGAAAGCCGGCAGCAGGAACAGATGGAGCTATGCACCTCTGCATCCTTTAATTATGGAATTGGAACTGGGTTTTCTTGGCGATGGTGCAGGTCTGAGGGTGGATCCGGCGCTCCCCCTGCTCCTTCTCTGCCAGACACAGTGTTCATTGCAGATCTGACCCCCTGGGCTGGCGCTGAGGGGACTGCGGCCTGGTGCAGGGTGACATTCAGGCTCCAGGGACTGTCAGGGGCCATCTTCACCCTGCGAGCATGAAGTCCACCCCACAGCTCCTGCACTGGCCAAGGAGGGCACATAGCACCCAACGTAGACCCACAGCCTGAGCTCCTGAGATTCTTTTTATTTGTGACACAGAGTCTTGTTCTGGAACCAGCCAGGCCAGGTAGGGATAGAAACATAAGTAATGCAGAGGGCTGGGAAAAAAAGAAAAGAAAAGAATAAAAGGCAAATTATTGAATGTGGTAGTCATGAAATATGTGGTTTTGCATTGGATTTCATTGTTACTTTGGGTTTAGAATGAGTGACTGAATGTGGTTTTAGGACTGGGATAGGCAACTGTAAAGCTCCAGGCCACTGGGCCCGGGAGGGTCTTGCTGACCTTCCTGTGAGATGCTCTTTTGAGCTGTGCTTGATAAGGGATATGCCCAACCCTATGAGTACAGCGTCACATTCCTAACACTCTGTGAGTCACAGTGGTCTTCAACAAATTAAAATCATTTCCTTTGCTTTTCTGACCTGGTTAAACGAATCACGTGGTTCCCGCCCATTGATACCCCTAGGTCAGTCACCAAACACGTGCCTGTTAGCTTGCTGCCTCCCTTTCTTTATTATGCTTTGAACTGGACCAGAAATATATTTCATTTTTACCATCTGTGACTTGGGTTCCTGAAAGTCGAAAGAACCTTAGTGTATGTTGATATGTCTATTTTATAAAATGCTTTACTGGGGTATACTTTGCTTTCACTCTCCTTTGCCATGTCAGATCTAGACAACAATCAATTTTATGTCTCTATACATGAGCCTATTATCAAAATGTCTACTACCCAGGATCGTGAATTATGTGGCCTTTTGGGTCTGGTTCTTTCACTCCGCCTAATGATTTCGGGTTTCACTTCTGTGGTAGCGTGTGTCATGACATCATTCCTCCTGGATGGCAAGTAGTGTTCTATTGCATGGACCAGACCACACGTTGTGAGCATTCATGTAAGAGTCTTTATGATGATAGGAATTTTATTTCTTTTGCATACTAACTTTGGGTTAGAGTTTCTGTGTCCTCTAGTGATTTTATGTGCAACATTTTGAGGGATAGCCCCATTTTTGTTTTGTTTAGTTCTGTTTTGTTTTCAAGGTGGCTACAATATTTTACAGTCCCATTTGCAGCATATGTGAGTTCCATATTCCTCACTTCTTTTCTGACATTTGTCATTGTATCTTTGCTATAGCCATTTAAGTGGGTGTCAATTAGTATTAATTGTGGTTTGACTTGTATTTTCTTAATAACGGATGAAACTGAGCCAATTGGCAAATTGTGTATCTTCTATGGAAAACGTCTATTCAGTGATCTTAGAACCTCTCTCCTCCCCCTAAATATCTGCCATTCAAAACCCCATGAAACACATGAAGGGGCAGTGTTCAAGTTGGGGACACTGGGAAGTCCTCAGGCCACCCCTGCATGAGGGCTGCCCCAGGAGAGCAGGGCGGGCTTGTGAAGGCCCTGAAGCTCTGACAGCCCTGCCCACCTGCAACAGGGGCCCACACAGAGGAGGTGGTCTTGCCGGCCCCCGCAATGCCTGGGTGTCCTCTAGAGACATTTGGGAGAAGGTTCTTTGCCAACAAAGATCCCTGCTACCCAGCAGGCAGGGGTGCGTGTGTGTGTGTGTGTGTACCAGAATTCTAGTGTTTAGAGTGGAATTTGAAAATTAAAGTGTAGGGGCCCGGTGCGGTGGCTCACGCCTGTAATCCCAGCACTTTGGGAGGCCGAGGCAGGTGGATCACGAGGTCAGGAGATCGAGACCATCCTGGTCAACATGGTGAAACCCCGTCTCTACTAAAAATACAAAACATTAGCTGGGCATGGTGGCGCGTGCCTGTAATCCCAGCTACTCAGGAGGTTGACGCAGGAGAATTGCTTGAACCCAGGAGGCGGAGGTTGCGGTGAGCTGAGATTGTGCCATTGCACTCCAGCCTGGGTAACAAGAGCGAAACTCCGTCTCAAAAAAAAAAAAGTGTAAAGCCAAAAATTTGATCACGCATGATAACACAGCTGCACAATTAAACCATGCATGATAACACTCTGCTCTGTGCTAGTTGGGTTGTTCCAGAATGCAGGGCCCTGGGAACCTGCCCCCGACAGAGCCCTAAACAGTGTGTGAGGCCTCATACGTGTGAACCAGGGCAGAAACCTGCTCAAGAGCACAGACCCGGACCCATCCGATGCCTCCAACAGGGCTGAGAGTAGCCCCTTGTCCTTCCTGAGCTTTTTCACTGGGGCTGACCTGGGAGGTGCATGAGGCACTAGGGCTGGGAATTGTGCAGAAGTGCAGAGAGCATGGGGGCCAGGAACTGGTGAGGGGGGCGAGAAATAGGCCTTCCTACTGGAGGGGTCTGGGGAGGCACCCAGACCAGGACCACATTTGGGAAAAGAGACAACTGGCCCTGGATGTCCTTTTCTTGTGAAGACCAGCAGCCATGGGGCCTTCAGAAGGGCTTGAAGATAAACCCCCTCAGTTAGCACGCCACCTGAACACATCCTTCCAGGGAGCCAGGAGCAGCCATGGTGTCCCCTGAAGTCCCAGATCTATGACTGGAAGGTGAGACTCCCTGGAGGAGCAAGGAAGAGGCTCTTCAGTGGGGCAGAAGGCCACACTCTAGGAGGCGCAGTGCATTCACGCTTGATCATTCCTGCATCCCTTGCAGTGCCTGAAAGTGCTCACCATAAGCAGCCAGAACCTACCTTCTGGGGACCACAAGAGGCATGGGGACCTCACATGCTTCCTTGTGATCATGGCTGAGGACTGGCAAGGTTGAATCATCGAAAACACACAGGGCTTTCACCTGAGTCAATGGGTCCCTGCCAGCCTGCCATGACCCTCTGACATGCTATCGGTTCTGGGTCTGTGGGAAGACATTCAGCCACCCACTCAGTGACCAGCCCCTCTTTGTAGATCCATGACCTCTCATCGCAACCCCAAACCTACCAGCAGCTCTTCTGAAGCCCTTCCCTAGCAGAGCTGCTCAACCAGATCAGCTGGACTTGCAGAATCCACTTTGCAGGAATGCAGAAAAGGTGGTGTGTGTGCCTCTTCTGCCCTGCCTGTCTCATGCACACAGGGGAAGGGATGAATCGGCCAGCCTGAACTCCAGGTCTTCCACCTGAAGAAACTGTCCCCAGCCCCTGCTGCCTCAGGTCCTCTCTAGGGAGTCATCAGCCCACATGGGAGAGAGCAACCCTGGGAGAGGAACCCAGCTGCTTCTGTCTGACTTTAGGGCAGTGTCACAGGGTACAGAGAACCACGGGCAGGAGGGCCTCGGAGTAGAAGGGGCCCATGGCAGGGTGCTGAGCCTGGGGGGCTGCCCCATCTCCCCGTCCCCTGCCTGCGACAGCATCCAGAGGAATGGCCATCTTGTTCCAGGTGTGCAACTGGATGGCCCGCAGGGAGAACACGCCATGGACTGTGTGTGCAGAGAGGACACCTCCACCTCAGGCTGGGCTGCAAAGAGCACATTTCTGGACAGGGGCCTGTGGCCTGACCCTGCGCTTACCCGGCACCCACTTCCCTCCTGGGTGCTGGATGGTTCTGTACACTCTCCTGTAGGCTCCATGCTGGGCTGTTCATTAGGGCATCTGGGCCTGTCCACAGGGAGGTGGAAGAAGGGACATCCTAGAGGAGGCCTCAGGCATAGGGGAGCTCGTGTCTCCCTCCCTGGCTCCTCTGCAGACCTGGGCCTGGAATGAGGAGCTGCAGACAAAGGAAGCTGCCCCCAAGGATCTGCTTGAACTGCTGCTTAAAAAAGGACCATATTGAAGGTGCT